GTGATCCTGGTTCTAATAGAGGTTTCCTCCTGGTCCTGGTTCTAACGCAGACCCCTGACCCAGTTTGCCCCTCTTAGCCCCCTGACCTGAACCCGGCTCCTAGATGACCTGGGCTAAGCCCCGGACTCACCTGCCAGTCCTCCGGCCAGCCAGATGGCGCCGGGGTGGGGGCTGGCCGAGCCGTCGGGCCTCAGCAGGTCGCAGAGCACGGCGTAGGGCAGGAAGTAGAGCGTGTAGCCCGGCACGTCCCTCAGGACCATGGCGCCGGCCCCCCGGTACAGCCCCTGGGGGCCCTCGGCCTGCAGGATGCTGCTGACGCACTGCAGGGGGCCGCGGTGCGGCCGCCGGCCGGTCAGCTGCAGCGAGCACTGCCGGAGGCCCGTCCCCGCCAGGTGCAGGTTCTCTAAAGGGGCACAAGTACAGAGTGAGACCCCCAGACCCCGAGCTAGCTTCACTTTGTCCCGACTCATCTTTCTGGTGCTTTCCGGGCTGTAAAATTCCATCCATCCATTATCAAAACCACTTATTTCCTAATGGGGTTGCGGGCAGTACTGGAGCCTATCCCAGTACTCAATGGGTGAGAGGCGGGGTCACCCTGGACCAGGGATGTCCCGATCCAGCTTTTTGCCCTTCCGATACCGATCCCGGCCTATCAGAGCATGTGTTAAAGTTTATAGTTATTTATTCTACTTACTTAGTGGTCAGACTCATGTTGAAAAATGGATTTACTCTGATAACAACTTAATGGTTAGGACACAGACCTGTGGGTTACAGATGCTAATGCTAATGTGGGATCGGACTGGAAAAAAAACTGGATCGGTGTTTTCTCACGCTGGATTTTTAGCGAATAACAGCAGCCGATCCAAATATCGGATCGGGAAAAGCCTACCCTGGATGGTCCACCAGTCCATCGCAGGGCCACACAGAGACACACAAGGACCAACAACCACACACACTCACTCCTAAGGGACATTTGGAATGTCCAATCAAGCTAAAAAGCAGGTTTTTGGATGGTGGGAGGAAGCCGGAGAACCCACAGACACAGGGAGAACATGCAGACTCCAAACAGAAAGGTCCTGGTTCCCCCGGGGACTCTAACCCAGGACTTTCTTGCTGTGAGGCGATGGTGCTAACCGCCACATCACCATGCCGCCTAAAATTCCTTTGAGGAAGCGAATGCGTCTGGTGCTCAGACGGCAATTTAAAAAAAACAACTTTTTCCTGCATTTTTACAGCGAAAATAAACTTCTCCCACTTCATGAAATGTCTTTTAGGACTCTGCAGCTTCTTTTGGGATAATTTTCTCCACATCTGAGCCGTCACACACCACATGTTTTCACAGAAAATGAAGCATTCTTATTACCCCTTTTTTTTTTTTTTTGCTTTTTCCCAAATCCCAAACGGGGGCTGAATAAAATCTGCAGCCTCTGTGTCCAGGATGCTTCATTCAGGACCTAAACGAGCCTTAAAAATGAATTTGCTCCTCCTCTGCCTCATTTGATTCACTTTTAAACAATGCTAGCTCATTGGTCATTCACTCCTTTGGGTGTGTGGTGCCTTTGCTCTGTCGGGCAGGATTTAGAAAGAATCCCCTGATCCCAAAAATACAAAAATATCAACGTGAAGTGGCACAGTTTTCACTTTATCCCTGATAAATCCTCCTGTTTTCTCCCAAAATGGAGCCTAACTGCTGCTGGCATCGCCCCAAAACTTTGTTTTCTCTCTCTTTTGCTTTATTTCTTTCCATGTTTGTGACCTGGTTAGGCTGACCGGGCGGGGGAGGGGGCTTTTAAAGGGGGGGGGGGGGGGGGTCGGGCAGCGGAATCCAGTCTGAACCACCGACTATCCTTACTGACCTCCATCGTGGAGCTAATTCAGCGGAAATTTCAAACTGAAACGCAAGTTTTCGCACATCAAACAGCAAAGCTGACCAAAAAGAAGCGGTTAGCTTAAGTGAACACACAAAATCTCCAAACAAAAAAAACACACAAACGCACAAACGCTGCCTTACCAGCCAGAACCGGCTGCGTCTGCATCTGCAGGCGGATCTTGACCAGATCCACCGGCGCCCCCAGGCCCACGGACATCAGCCCCGTCAGCATGCTGGCCACCGTCAGGTCCAGCAGCCCGCAGGGGTGGTGCCCGTCGCCGTAGCGATAGGTGCTGATGAGCCGTTGAACGTTGCTGAAGAAGCCAAACACAACCGAGTTGTAGACGGTGATGCTGGCCAGCGGGAAAGACATGCCCTTAAAGAAGCCGGCCACCTGAGAGGAGAACAGCCGCTTCAGAGTTTGACCCGACTCCGGCCCGCTGGGCTCTGGGAAACGCCCCCCCCTGGAGGGTCTGGACCTCCATTCCCAGCTGAGGGGAGGGTGGGGGTGCTTACCGTCTCCTTCCTGTAGATGCTGAGGATGCAGTGCAGAGTGCTCCGGTAGCCGCTGCCCGCCTGGAGCCGCGTCTGGACACAAGAAACCGCGATTGGTCTGTGGTTCCTGAGGTTTTTAAAGCAGACTGAAGGGTGGAGCCTTCAGTTGTCAGGCCCCTCTCTGGGGTTC